AGCATTGCTGCATGTGCGCTCATCCCATGGACAACCATTTTCAAAAGCCCACTGTAAGGTTTCCAATTGACCATTTGAGGCAGCTAAGGTGCATGTGTTTTTATCCCATGGACAGCCAATTTCATGGGCATATTTGAGGAATTCCAAATGGCCACTTTCAGCAGCACAGGCACATGTATCTTCATCCCATGGACAGCCATTTCATTGGCAATTTCAGGATATCCAAATCAACGTCCTCTGCAGCATGGCTGCATGTGTGTTCATCCCATGGACAGCCATTTTCATGGGCAAATTGGAGAATTTCCAAATGACCGTATTGGGCAGCTTCGGTGCCTGTCTGTTCATCCCATGGACAGCCATTTTCGTGGGCGTATTGGAGGATGTCCACATGACCGTGCCGCTGCTTGGTGCACAGTGTGTTCATATCCCATGGACAGCCATTTCATGTGCATATTTCAGAATTTCCACCTGGTCATGCTCGGCAGCATTGATGCATGTGTGTTCATCCTGGGCAGCCATTTTCATGGGCATAATTGATGATTTCCAATTGGGCCTCTCCCAGCAGCAGCATTGCATACAGATTGATTCCATGGGCACCCACTTTCATGCAAATATTTGAGGATTCCCAATTGACAGCAATCAGCAGCAGTCTAGCATGTCGGTTCATTCCATGGGCAGCCCTTTTCGTGGGCATATTTGAGGATTTCCAAATGACCATTGCGCAGCAAAGTCACATGTGTCACGATCCCCATGGTCATCCATTTTCATGAGCATACTTAAGGACTTCCAACTTGCGGAGAAGCAGCAGGCAGCTTGCTGCAGGTTGCGTCATCCCCAGGACAGCCATTTTCCATTAGCATATTTTAGCGATTCCAAATGTCCATTCTTGGCGGCATTGCTGCATGTGCGTTCATTCCATGGCCAGCCATTTTCATGGGCATAATTCAGAAATTCCCAAATGTCACTTCCTGCAAGCATCACGGCATGTGCAGAATACCACGGAGCCATTTCATGGGCATATTTGATGACTTTCCAAGTGGCCCATTTCAGCAGCATAGTTGCCGTATATGCATGCCCCAGGGGCACCCATTCTCATGCGAATATTTGACAATTTTGAAATGGCCATGCTCAGCAGCTTTGCGGCATGTATTTGCATTCCATGGGCATCCGTTCTCATGCAAATATTTGACAATTTCCAAATGCCATTCTCGGCAGCATTGCTGCATGCATCTTCATCCCATGGACGAGCCATTTTCATGGGCATACATGAGGATTTCCAAGTGGCCATTGCGAGCAGCATTGTCACATGTGCGTTCATCCATCAAATCCCTTGTTGCAGCCAAAATGAAATAACTTTAAAGATTACCCATTTTGGCAGCCCTAGCACAGATAATTTCTTCGTCAATATCTGCACCAGCGCCTGTGTACGTGTACCAATACTCTACTCGGGAAAGACTGCAGAAAGTGGCACTGTTGAATGTGTCATTGTTGGTTGCAGCAATTCTATCAAATCCATTTAGGACAAGGGGGGGATTCTCTACAGTTTCACAGTATGCCTTGTACAGGTCTTTTCCTTTTGTGACTGACTGGTGCCACAAAGGCAAAGTGCCCCATGCCAAGAAAAGGGAAAATGTTGCTGATCCAGACATCCTCATTCTTCAAACAAGATTGCGAAATATCCACATGTGCTTGTTGTTTTGCTCGTTTGTGCTGCTCTGGTGGCGACGCTAAGTTGCCATCTAAGCCTCTTTTGCAGTTGTCTTCCTCCATGATCGTTCTCTGTATTGGTGCAAACTAACTGTTGCGTTGTGCCGTTCAGAACTTGGGGGTGCTGCTGTGGAGCTGCTCGCGCTGGGGCACCAAGCAAGATCCGACCCTTGGATCTCCCTCGTCTGCCCCCAGAAAGAAAAGACAGCTCTTGCTGGCTTAGGTAGGCATTTTGACCAACCTTTGGATCTTTTCCATCAAACCAAGATGGAATGAAGGGATATCTCCTCCGTTGCACCGTTAGTGGTGGGCTGGAGAGCTTTGCTGAAGCAGAAGTAGTGGAACATGTGGATGCCGGGAGCAATCGAGTGAAAGTGGTATGCATCACAGAGGACATTCGGGATCCTTGCTAGATATCATCTTCAGGGACGGTACCGAGATTTCTGGTCTACTTCTACAAGTCCTCAAGCTGCGTTTTGTAGATCATGTGTCGTTGCAAGTGTTATCTCTGGAAATTCCTGCTGCTGACGACATTAATCTTCTCGAATGGGTCACAGAAAACTGTTTTGAAGTCTCACAGCTTGATAGAGCTCTCGAAGCCTTTCGGCTGTGGAAACCATTGCTCGATAATACATTGGCCAGTAGTGCATTGGAAGGAGTACTCATCGCTACTCCAGCACTACCACAGAACCTACTGGAAGGTACCAGCCAAGAGTCCATGAAAACAGAAGCCTTCCACGTCAACACGATCTACACCAAACCAGCAGTCGCCAAGCTGGCAGTTCAGACCTTTCGGGAATTGGTTGAGCAAGAAATAAACAATGTAGAATACCAACAAACAGCCAGCAGTGGTATTCTATGGGTAGATGCAGGGGCTGGATCTGGGGCTCTCCTGCAAAGTCTTCCCCAGGATTCTTCCTTGGGTGTTGATCTACATCCTCAACATTCGTCTGTACACGCTCGTGATTTCTTTCAGGTCTCTACGCAGTGGCTGCAAGAGACTGCGCCAAAACCATTTGAATCAATCTGCATCATTTCGAACCCACCCTTTGTGGAAGGAACCCGTGGGGATTATTCCATTATTGGCAAATTCCTGAAGCATGCCACGTTCCAACTCAAGGCAAGCTTCATGGGATTAATTGTCCCTGCCAAGTTTGCCCATGCCTGGAAGTCATTTGGATTGCCCATTCGACTTGCCTATCGGATGCATTTGCCCAAAGATTCCTTTTACGATCCATCGACCGCGGAATCCAAACACTTGCAATGTTATCTCCTCGTCTTTGATCTACAACCAAAGCAACCAACAACCCTTTCCGGCAACCAGTCTCCATTTCGGACACGGATACACACAACGAACTTGATGACGATTGCATTCACGTGATTGCACAACGTGACAAAGGCATCATCCTAATATTTCCACGGCTTCATTCACAAGTGCTGTTGTTCAGGGTCTGGGTCGAGCTGGTGTGCCCTTGGGATCATCCAAACACAAGAACTCGATCCCACTCAAGGCCAAACTCTCCAAATCATTGGAACTATTTGTGGAACTCAACCCCAAACGACCCCTCTCAATCGCCAATTCCATGTCCAGCCGGGTCCAAAACCACAGTCTAGGATGGATGTCCAAGTCGGTGAAACCTCCTGTGGCCTTGGCCATGCACCAACTGTCGAGTGGAACGCCAGGTGACAACCAGCCAACGACAGCTAGTGTTGTGGTCGATCTGATGTGTGGAGAAGGAACACTGGAATACGAGTCAATGGAGCATAATGATTCGCCGGCAAGCACCTTTCGCATAGTTGGCGACAAGAGCCCGGAGGCAATCGAACAGGTTGCCGCCCGGTGTCATGATCAAGAATTATTGATCGATTTTATAGTTTGGGACGCTCAGAATTTACCACTTCGAAAGGGGATTGCCGATGTGGTCCTTGGTGACCTGCCCTTTGCCGGTAGTAACAAGAAGAAACATCAGACACCTGTTGCTGCCGCTACCAGCAGTGGCACGTCCGATGTCTCTTGCAGCTACCCCAAGGTCCTGGCCTCGTTGGTCCGAGTGTTGACCCCTTCCGTGGGTCGCACCGTTCTCGTCAGTGCCGATTCCAAAGCACTCACTCATGGTACCTGGAAGTTTGCGGGGTATTTGAAAGAGCTCTGGCAAACCAAGTTGAACATTGGTGGCTTGGCGGGGAGGATGTTAGTGTTGGGTCGGAAAGATGCCAGCTGGAAGGATATAAATTTGTTTGTGGAGGAAGGAGGGGTAGACCGTAGCTCGGTGATTCTGACCAGAGCACGGGCTGTCTGCGGTCAGTTTTACTTGAATGATCTTTTGGAGCTGCAACAAGACACTACCAGCAATGGAGGAACTATATCGTTGAACTTGCTGTCTCAGGTTCAATTACGGGAAGAGTACTGCCATGTAGATCAATCGTTGAGTCAATGCTATCGATTCCACTTTGACCCCATCGTAACGAATGCTCAAGCGAAGGTCTTGGAAAAGGCGATCCGACTTGATCTCGAGAAGAATCCGGTCATTGGAACCCGCATGTTTTATAACAGAGAGGTTGCCCGCATCTGAAGCAACTAGACTAGCTACACTCGAAGATTTACATCCATGCTTTCATTGCTAAAATCGTATGTAATTGATTCCCCCCTAACGTTTCCTACAAATTTGTAAAGGCATTTTCTACGCGTTAGCAGCCTGGTTTTTCCTGTGCCTATTATTATATTGTCGTCGTCTTCGACGTAGTACTATTCAAGTCATCATCATCTTGTGGCCATGGATGGGGTGAAAACGTCTTGGATAAGATGCGCCAATAGTTCCAATCCTCTACACCTTTGGATCGTCCCAATAGCAAATGATCTTCAAAGACTTGTGACTGATTTCCATTTCCAACTCTTACGACGGCAGCCGCGGCATTTCCACAGGGCAGGACATCAATGGATACAATATCGTCATGTTGAGAGGCTTCAAACCCGTGCATAGTCTGCGTGAGGACCCCGTCCAAATAGGTGGTCATTGGAATTTCCAAAAAGTGTCCGGCCGGAGCTTGCCAGTCTTGCGGCGTCTCGTGGTCACTACTGCCCACCGTCAATAAACTGGCTTGATCAGCGAAAATAGTTTCGGCGTGTTCCTTGTCGTCTAGTCCCCCTCCGTGTTCCACATCTAGATATGACAGCACACTGCTCTTGACGGACGTGAAGGATTTGGAAGGATAATTGCGTCCACCAGCAGAAATGACTTCTCGCACAATTCTCCATCCGTCATTGTGCGGTTTGTGTTCATCGAGTTGCAAAATGGACAAATAACGGGGCAATCCATCCATGCCCATGACTTTGGCCAGTGCGGTTCTGGCATCTGAAAAAATCAGCCATTGTACCGATGGAGTCGTCATGGTAGCTGTGCGACTACTTTGTTGTTCCGTACTACTACTGTCGATACTGGTGAGTATCCATCCCTCCGTGTCATTGTGTGTCCAGATTTTCGCCTCTGGGTGCCAGGCAAACCCTTGCGATGATGGTAGCGCCACGGCGTGTGGTCCATGAGAACTCTCCAAGAGTCGAAGGATATTGTGGAGACCGGTAGCACCTTCCAATCCCAATCCAATGCCTGCAGAGCGAGGTCCTGGCGCCGTAGCAGAGACATCTTTCAGATTGGGATCTCCACCGTGATTCATGTGAGTGCGGTACCAGACGGCAGCACTGGAGGTCGACGGCACAACAGAGGAAGTTCTGGTTCTGGGCGCTCCCCCCCTTGAGAGAGCTCGAAGCGTGTAGCGTCTCGCAGCCGAGCAAATCATCATGGATTGAATTTCAAAATTCTTATCGAGAGCTACCGGTAGTTAGATAGTAGCTGAATGGTATTTTTGTTCCTTCGTCACTTCAATGATATCTATTACATGTAAAATACCACAGAGCCACCGCATCACAGAGATCAGAGGTGAAGCAACCTCAGGATCGTTTTGAAGGGTGCATTTTCTTCAACAACGGCTGAACCAGAAGAAAGCAATCACGAAGTGAGAACTCCCATGGAGTGAAAGATCCAACCAAGAAGTGAGTGCAATCGGGACTCATATCCGTGACTGATATCTTTGAGGGTTCGCATCCAAGCTTTCACACCCTCCACACCACATCATGTGCACTGTTGTCCACAGTCCACTTCCACTCCTCCGTCATACAGCCGTACCGGTAGATAGTGCTGGTATCCACCTGCCTCTGTCATGCCATAGACAAAGACAAGTCATATTCAACGATGGATATGAATAACAGCCATGGCGACCATGACTTTGCCAGTATCACGGATCTGTGGTGGGCTGGTGTTCGTTTATGGTACAATGAACAAGATTTGCTGCAAGCCATGCAACTATGGGAACAAGCTCTTATTGAAGTGGCGGCATTGGAAGAAACCAAGACCACAGCGAGAGTGTTAGTGCCAGAAAAGCTGGCAGTGGCATCTCCTGCCGTATCCTACCTGGCTCCTCTTCTTTTATTTTTGGCGGGATGCCATCTCGATGCTGGTGACACGCACAAAGCCCAACGGTTGTGTATGAGTTGTCTCGCCACCAATCTCTTTCGGGATCATTTATTACTACTAAAAACTGGTAGCAGCGACAACAATAATTTTTCACATGGAGTACTGTCCGAGTACGAGGCAGCCTTTCAGGAAGACCATACGATTGATGAACCATGGAACATGGCACATCAAGTGGTACAGTGGGTTATTGAACAGAAACAAAAACAACACGAGCAACAACCAGAATCCTTTATTCAGACACCAGAAACAGCTGCCATACATGTAGCACCATCCAGTGTGTGGGCGGATGCCTATCAACGGCCCGGGTTCTTTTATTCCTCCCTCCTTCCATCATCCAAAGCAGTGTACACCAGAGAAGAATTCCCAGACTGGTGTTTACAGCTAGAACAAGACGACTACTATCCCATCATTCGAGACGAATACCAAAGACTGCTACAACAAAAATCCAAACAACAGCACAACAACAATACCATGCCACGCCACTGGCCACAAGTAGGAGCGGGAGATCATCGGGATGGTGCGGGACAACACGATGCTTCTGTACTAGTGGGGGATTGGAGAGAAGTGGTATTGTTTGGAAGTGGGGCACAACCTCACTTGGCGCCACGGACATGTGCAATACTGCAACGCATCGCCCCCGACGCCGTCGATCTAGCACGACAAGGAGCGGGAGAAATCATTTTCAGTGTCTTGGCACCACAGACGTACATTAAACCACACTGTGCGTCGACCAATCTACGATTGACGGCCCATTTGGGATTGCAAATACCCAACGACAACAGCACCTGTCAGTGTTACCTACAAGTTGCCCAAAACAAGTTGGTATGGCAACCCGGAAAAATCATTGTCTTTGATGATTCCTATCAACACCAAGTCCACAATCATACCAACGAGATTCGAGCAGTGCTCTTGTTGCGGTTTTGGCATCCCCAATTAAAAGCACAGGATCGACAGGCTGCCTTGCAACAGCTCTTGGACGCCAAGGAAGCCGATCGACAACGACGGTGCAATCCACCCTTGCCGCCAGGAGGAAAGCGCAATCCACAAGGCATGGGGATCAAGTCATGTCCCACTTGTGGACGCAAGGGGTTTGAAACCATTCGACTAGTATCATCTAGACCCGGCTTGTTTCAGTGTCTCTGTGGTCGTGAGGCGTGATATGATAGTGTTTACAGGTAGGTTCTTGGTACAGGATCAAGCCAATGATGGTACAAAAATCGCAAAAGTAAAGGCGTTACTTGCTAGCTAGCCAGTCACTGAAGTACATGTAGCACGAAAGCAAAGACTTCCGCAGTCTCAAAATAGATGCTTCACCGAGGGGTAGTTGCCATCACAGTATCCCCTACCAAACCTCCTACTAGAGGTTCTCTATGTTCTCTTGTTGTTGTCGTTGTTGTCTGGACCGTGGATACTGCCTCCTCCTTTTCATAGTTGTTGGACATGAGGCTGATATATGTTTGCCATCCTGCTTCCATCATGAGAGTTGTGGTTGGCCGTATCGCGACGGGAATGACGGAAAACGCCACCATATTGTACGGGAGCCAGACTTTGGCATCGTTGACTGTCACAATGGGCATTTCCGCCACGACATGTCGGGCCACATCGTGATAATCTCGTCCCACCAAGAGACCTCGGGATGTCATGCTGACCGAGTTGACAAAGATCCCCACTGTCAAGATTTCCACAACCGACTTTTGTAAGACTGCCGAAAAGTGAGTGCCCTTCCACATCCTGTCCAACCGAGCGTAAGCAGCGGGGTATACCCAACCTCCAAACGCGGCACCAATCAATCCAGCCGAAGCCACTCGTCGTATTCGAAACGATAAACTGTCATGGTCATGGTGTGGCGATGCGCTTTCGTTCTTGGAGGTTTCGAGATATTGGGCAACGGCATCCGAAGAAGCACACAATGCTCCACCCGTGAAACTATTGAACGTAACAGGGTACTGGTTGGCCAGTCGAACCCACGTTGCAAAGAAAAAGCTCATGGTTGTGGCTGTCAGGTAATGAATCAATGTTTTGGAGGCAAACTGTTCTTCAGCCAGGTACCGTAGTATTGTGCCAAACCTTCAGCTTCTGATCAACGCGTGGCCATTGTCTTCCTCAAAGCCTCCTGCAGCTTGCGAGGAAGGCATATTCAATCTCATGTCATTGCCTCATTGACAACGAAGCTGGCGGGGTCTGACACTAATAATGTCAAGGGAACTTTTGAAAGTGCAGAGTGCCTCCACCAATCATTCAGCAAAGTTTGGAAATTTGTGAGAACCCACGACTGATATTCTTTTACTCGCGTGTACCTGCACGTTGCGCGCAACTCCATCGGTCCACGTACCGAAACCATCGAACAGCCACCGTCCAACGAGGAGGGCACGAAGTGGCAGCCTGCATGCCTCAAAGGACAATTGAATCGCCGGGCTTGGTCGTACCACCACGATGGCCTTCGTTCCAGGCCTATTTGCCACGATAAATCCGTCCTAAGATATCGTGACGGGCTAAAAAGGACCCTCGATCAGTGCCATCCAACGACCTCGTGTACCCCTTGAATTCAAGGCCATTTAGCTGTTAGCCAATGGTTGTACAAAATTGGGGCCAAGGTCGATGTCCGAGCAAAGGGCATCATTCATAAAGTCTTCAACCCCTTGACTATCTGTTGGCACGCTTCAACCGCTCAAAGGTATTTGACCCTTGGCAAATGGTTCATCGTGAATGGTGCTATTCACAATGATGATGGAGAGATAGACCTGGATGCCTTTAAAAACTTGACAGGTCCCTCGATTGAACCTCGTATACTGTCTTGGTCACAGAATGTTCTCAAAACTCGCGACGCCTTTCAAGTTTTCCTCATGGGGGCGTCGCTTGGCCAAGCGTTCTCTTTGGAAGCACTGGCCACAAAAGTGGAAGCAAAGCTTGGCTCCAAGGATGCTGTCAAAACTATCATGGATTTGGGTGTTGACAGTGGCAAAGAGAAGCTTCTGTGGGCCCAGCTCTTTGAATCGCCATGTCAGCACATTGGTGGCCAAGTTAGGGTGTTGAAAGCCATTGCAGAATATGCAGGAGTGGTAACCAATGCCAAGCAACTCCAAACACATCGCCAACTGCTTGAGTTGCTACCGGGACGACGGACTACCAAGTAGGGTAGAGCAGAAGTCCAAAGTAATTCAACGTGATTCCCTGGTCAAAAATGTACACCAAAGCTGCCTTGTTGCCTGGGCAAACTTATTCATTCTGACAGCCGACAGCCTTAAAATCGCAAATATGCAATGCTAATTGCTAGCCTACGGATTTGTGTTTAATGGTAACATTCAAACTCTCATATAGATGTATGTAAAATGCAAAACTCGCTCTTTCTCTCTTTCTTCCATTCATGGCAACTGATCTACTGGATCCGCGTCGTCCATCAACCAAGGATAATTCATCCCCATTGTCACGGTTTCCATAACGGTCCAGGCCACCGCCTGTTGAATTTGTGTGGCCACTTCCGGTTCCACTCCGGGTGGCATCCACTGGACTTGACGAGGATCTGCTCCCGTCATGCTGGTGTACATGGTAAGGGCAGCGAGGTAGCTCCCGTAGATGCTGGGATGGCTGCCATCGTCCATGTAGAGTTGATAGAATAAGCAGTCCGTGGTATTTCCAGGATCGATTCCTTGTCGTTCTTTGATGCTGTTATAAATGTTCTGGTAGACCAACCCCACGGGAGCCACCCATGTGGGTCGCTGTTCTGTGGACGTTTTTTCGAGATATTGTTCGTATCCCTTGGTCAATCTGGCTTGATGCGACAGGAAATCGGGGTAGATGTCTCTGTTCATATCATCTCCTGCACGTCGTCCCCATGTCATGTAAAACATGGTTTGTGCATTGGGTATCCCCTGCTGGACCATTTTATTGAGAGTGTAGCAGGATCCCTTACTCACAAAAAATAAGTCGTCATGGGCAGTACCAGAAAAGCCCGGGATCTGCGATTGTTCTTGCAAAATCACCCAGTTGTAGTTCAAGGGCTTGGTCACCAACCACTCTCGAAGTTCCCTGGGATGAAAGGAATCATCTGATCCATGCGGCGGTTTGTAGTCTTCCGCAGTGGATAGCACGTGTCCACGAAATGTTTGTCCTCCAGGATGATGGCTACGAATGTTAATATCGGCGTCATGTTGGCTATCAATGATCTTCTTGGTCAGACCGGCCAAGTCGTTGACTGATGTGTAGCTATTACCCACAAAGAGCAACTTGAAATCGTCGAATAAGGCGTCTTGTTCGATTGAAGCATTCTGGAATCCTCCATTCTTGATGCCGCCTTCTTGGAACCAAGGAAACGTCTCCCACTCACGGGTACCGATGCCCTGATTCTTTGAGGGGCCTCGTGGAGCGATCAACAGTTTGACCCCAAGGGACGCCACGGTAACCACCACAAATACCTTGGCCCAAAGAGGACAGGATCGAGTCCATTTCAGAAGGAGAGTCAACAAGGAGGCCATGGTGGCGGCAAATGAAGAAACACAGCCAGAAACACAATGATACCACGTTCGGGATCCAACCGCCAGCTGTGAATAATGGTTCGCTCGGAGCTGGAGACAGGCACCTGGCATCAATTATAGAAAATTGAAAAAGTGTGAAAACTTTCAAAAATCCAAGTACTACATGTAGTACACTCGACGATGCCGCAGTCAACGAGGTCAAGATTTGAGGAGATCAAATTTCATAGGAGATGTTTAGGGAGATCTCGTAAATTTTAGGACACTGTTTTGGAGACCAAAGTCAAAATAAGGAGAATTGCCAAGTTGTTCTGGTCAAAATAGGAGATTGAAAGGAGATCAATTACCTGGTAGGAGAATGTTTTGGAGATTATTAAATTTTATGAGATCAAAATTTCAATTAGGAGATCGTTTTGGAGATTATCAAAATTTAGGAGATTCCTCACATTTTACTTTTTGCCCCATGGTCCCGAAGAACGAACACCAAGATATGCCATACTAGCTACCAGCTAGCAACTCAACTGTTATTGGTACCTGGTAGGTAGTTTATGCCAATGCAGGGAAACATCATGGAGGAAGCCAACGGCAAGAGATGCTTAGATGGCAGCTTAGAGTCGCCATCTGAGCAGCACAAGCGAGCAAAACAACAAGCACATGTGGATATTTCGCAATCTTGTTTGAAGAATGAGGATGTCTGGATCAGCAACATTTTCCCTTTTCTTGGCATGGGGCACTTTGCCTTTGTGGCACCAGTCAGTCACAAAATGAAAGACCTCTACAAGGCATACTGTGAAACTGTAGAGAATCCTCCCCTTGTCCGAAATGGATTTGATAGAATTGCTGCAACCAACAATGGCACATTCCACAGTGCCACTTTCTGCAGTCTTTCCCGAGCAGAGTATTGGTACAGGTACCGTCACACAGGTGCTGGTGGAGAGATTGACGAAGAAAATATCTGTTCTACAGCTGCCAAAATGGGTAGTCTTAAAGTTATTCATTGGGCCCGCCACAAGGGATTTGACTGGGATGAACGCACATGCTACAAGGCTGCTCGCAATGGCCACTTGGAAATTCTCATGTATGCCCATGAAAATGGCTGTCCATGGCGAGGGGGGACATTCTACGGTGCTGCTGAGAATGGCCATTTCGAAATTGTCAAATATTTGCATGAGAATGGATGCCCATGGGATGCAACTACGTGTAGCTGTGCTGCTGCAAATGACCACTTGGATATCCTCAAATATGCCCATGAAAAAGGGTGTCCCTGGGATGCAGAGGCATGCAGTGATGCTGCTGCAAATGCCCACTTGGATATTCTCAAATATGCCCATGAAAAAGGATGTCCCTGGGATGCAGAGACATGCAGTGATGCTGCTAGAAATGGACATTTGGGAATTCTGAAATATGCCCATGAAAAAGGTTGTCCCTGGGATGAGAGACATGCAGTGATGCTGCTAGAAATGGACATTTGGAATTCTGAAATATGCCCATGAAAAAGGTTGTCCCTGGATGAAGAGACATGCAGTGGTGCTGCGTTAAGTGTCATTTGGAAATTCTAAAATATGCCCATGAAAATGGTTGTCCCTGGGATGAGCGCACGTGCCACTACGCTGCAGGAGAGGGTCATTTGGAAATCCTCAAATATGCCCATGAAATGGATGTCCATGGGATGAACGCAACATGCAGCAATGCTGCGAGCAGGGCCATCTGGAAATCCTCAAATATGCCATGAAATGGATGTCCATGGGATGAACGCACATGCAGCAATGCTGCAAGGGCCACTGGAAATCCTGAAATATGCCAATGAAATGGCTGTCCATGGGATGCTAGCACGTGCAGCAATGCTGCCGAGCATGGTCGTTTGGACATCCTCCAATTTGCCCATGAAAATGGTTGCCCATGGGATCAGCACACATGCACCCAAGCTGCTGCGCATGGCCATTTGGAAATCCTGAAATATGCCCATGAAAATGGCTGTCCATGGGATGAACGCACATGCAGCAATGCTGCCGAGCAGGGCCACCTGGAAATCCTGAAATATGCCAATGAAAATGGCTGTCCATGGGATGCTAGCACGTGCAGCAATGCTGCCGAGCATGGTCGTTTGGACATCCTCCAATTCGCCCATGAAAATGGCTGTCCATGGGATGAGCACACATGCACGATAGCTGCTGCGCGCGGCCATTTGGAAATCGTGAAATATGCCCATGAAAATGGCTGTCCGTGGGATGCAAACACACTTTTTGAAGCAGCTTTTAATGACCGTTTGGAAATCCTGAAATATGCCCACGAAAATGGTTGTATTGCATGAAACTGATGTTCGGACTCAGCTTCTGATTCCTTGGAAGCAACGGTTTGTGTTCACGAAATGATTTCCCGGCTGCAGGCCTGAAGTTTCCTTCTACAAGCTACCGGTAGCAGTGCAGTCGTTTCTGGTTTTTAGTTACAGTCAACGGGCAAAGGACATAATGGTTGACTGCTTGTAGGTGCATGCAAGCGTCCAAATGGGTCAGTTTGGGCTGATGGGGACTGATAATGATCGCTGTTGTTCCGAGGATCGAGAGGAAGCACGCTTGATTCCTTGATTTGGTGCAACCGGTACCGTACCGATTTGCTCACACAAAAAATAATATCATCCCATCATCCCACAGTCTGGCCGTGAGCACACAGAAACAAAAACAAAACATACACAAGATGGCCTCCAAATGGACAAGCAACATTCCATTGGCTGCCAACATTATCTCACGAGTGCCTCTCCTGGTCATTCCTGCGGCAGTCATCAGTCTTGCTTCTTCCGTCCAACATCCAATCAACCCCTGCAAGATGGCCAGCTTTCCATTTGTAGAAAACGTGGACGACACATTGATACCACAAGACTGCATCCAGGCATTGCAAGCGGGTATTGATTCCTTCCCCGAGGAAAAGCGAGCCGCAATGCAAATGATGTTTTCTCCATTCTGACCACATGCCGTCTGGAAGGATGCCTATTCACATCGGTATGAATCGGATGCCTCTACGCTGCCACATTACCCAAGGTGTCCTTGCGTCGACTCATGTTGGTGACAGCCTTTTGTGTATCCGTGTTGGCGGGAATGGTCCATGCTGGATTTGTCCCTGCCTTTGGACGTAATCCCATGCCCGTGGGAGCGCATGAAGGCTCGGGGCAATTTGTTGTGTTGCCGGATTTGTCCTCTCGTTACATGAACAAGTGGAGACAGTTGTCACCAAAGTAAAGCAGCTTGAAGGGAGAGACCAGTTGAGAAGTGGTGGTAGAAAACGCGAGCGCCGAGATCTGTATCTGGAAAGCCTATTGAAATCTGCTGGTTGACAATGACAATGTTTACTCCTCACAAGTGCGTGGACTACGGTATGGTTGGATGTGGTATCCAATGTTGCCATATCTGGCCGCAGAAAGGAATGCAGATGCCCGGTTGCTACAACTTTCAGAATGCATGTACATGTAAACCTATCTAGCTACTTATTTTCAGCAGATTGGTGGTCGAATCTATGGATTGGCCATTCATGCAAGCTCTTCCACAATGTCATCTCCACTTGTTTCTTCTTGGATGACCCTGTCCCAGTCAGTGGCATTCAGCTCTGCTTTCAAATCTGCCTTGTTGCCGCCACGATGCATGAGACTCTGCCGTTTGATCAAATCTTGGTACTTGGTACACCGCCCAAGAAGTTCGTGGTGACTTCCCACATCCACAATCTGATGATTATCCACCACCACAATCTGGGTTGCCCGTTGAATTGTCGACAATCGGTGGGCAACTATAATCACCGTCCTTCCCACCACAGCCTTTTCAATGGCACTTTGAACCAGATGCTCGGACTCGGCATCCAATGCAGAAGTGGCTTCGTCGAGCAAAAGTATCCGAGGATTGACCAGTAATGCTCGGGCAATGGCAATTCTCTGCTTTTGACTGTCATGCAGGTGTTGATATGATGAAGGCAAGAAAACAAGCAAAGTAAGTAAGGTACCCCACGAATCATCCAATGTACCGCACAGCTAACTTACCCGCCACTTAGTTTGACACCACGTTCTCCCACAAGAGTATCGTAGCCATGGGGCCACTTGCAGATAAAGTCGTGAGCATTCGCTTTGCGACAAACTTCCTCTATCTCCTCTTGAGTCACCTCGTGATCTGAAACACCGTAGCTAATATTTTCACGGACAGTCAACCCAAAGAGAGAGGGTTCTTGTTGCACATATCCAATGTGTTTCCGCAACCATGCCAGATCGAGTGTCCGAATATCATTGCCATCTATCTTGATGGACCCGGCATTGACGTCATAGAATCTTTGCAGCAATGCCACCACTGTGGACTTGCCGGCACCACTGGAACCAACCAAAGCCGCGGTGGTATTGGGTGGTACTGTGAGACTGAACTTCTCTAGGACTGGGACATTGGGGCGAGAAGGGTACGAGAAGGAGACGTCCTCAATCGTCACGGCTCCTTCCATGGACTCGGGTTGCAACAAGGGATCGGGAAGTGTCGGCAAAGAAGCTTTCTTCTCGATATCGTCGTCGTTTTTGTTGCTGTCGTTGCTTTCATTGGTAGTGTTGTTGTCCTCACTACTACCATCTGCAGGTGGAGTAGGAATGGAAGGAACTCGATCCATGAGAAAAAAGATCCTTCCAGAAGCCCCCAGTGCTTCCAAAACCTTGGACAAGTGTCCACTGGTCCCCGCCAAGCCAAATCCGATTTGGAAAATGTACGACTGAAAGGCAGTGAGATCTCCCAAAGTAATCTCGTCCTCGGTCACCAATTTGAATCCATACCACAGACTCGCGTACATGGCGCCAAAGCCAAACCCGAACACAAAGGAGAAGAATCCGGAATTCCAAACGGCCTTGTAGAATCCCACACTGTAGGTTGTCGTGTTGGGATCATCGACATCACCCTCACTTTCGTCGTTGCTGTCACCCGGATTATTATTATTATTGGTGTTGCTGCTTGTCTTTTGTGGAATCCACCATGGAATACTGTCCGGATCCCCAATTTTGTTTTGGTACCGTTTCTGCTCGCGTTCTTCGGCGGCAAAGGATTGCACCGTCCTCATGGCGCCCAAGGATTCGGTGGATCGTGTCTGTGCCGCTCCCAGGACATCTTGATAGGCTTTGGATAGTTTCCCAATGACAGTCCCGAATGGTACGGCCACCAAAAAGATGATAATGTTACACCCCAATGTGACTCCGGCCAATTTGGCCGAGATCCAGAACATGAGTGTCACACTAACGAGGAGCTTGATAATACCCAATAAAAATTCGGGCATGGACTGGGAAATGGCGCCCTGTAGGAGTGTGGTATCACTGCCCAATCGACTGACGAGTTCTCCCGATTTGTGTTCGTCAAAAAAGGCAATTTCTTGCTTCAAAATGGCCCCGTAGAGTTGATTCCGTAAGCGTGCCACGAGTCGTTCTCCAATAACGCCCAGCAACGAGTGTCGGACAAAGCCCGCTGCCACGCCACTGAAGTGCAGGACCATGACAAGAATCATGGCCGTATGGATTTCCGCCATTTTTTCCTCGTCGGTGAGCGTCTCGTCGACCAAGGCATCGTAGGCTCTGGCAATGACAATGGGATTGACCAATCCAATGGCCTCGGCAGCCACCATGAGTACGACAGCCAGGATGAGTGCGGGGAACTCGGGTCGAGCCATGCGGATGATTTTGGTCAGAGAGGGAGGAGAGGAATCTACGGAAGAGTCCTTTTCTTGCTTTTGGGTCGTCGTTGATCCATCCGTGCGAGTCGTACGAGTGGATGCATTGTCATCGGTCAAGGCCAAGCCACTCGGAGGTTCTGTCGCAGCATCATCATCTTCTTTGTGAGGTGCCAGAGAGTATTGGACAGGATCTGTCATATCGGGTGGTGGTGATGATGAGGAGGGCTGTGCTTCCATGGTGCTGTCAACAAATTGGAGATTCTAGCTACTAGTATACCGGAATTAAAATAGGTCTAGTAACTATGAGAGAGATGAGCAGCGTCAAAACATATTGGATCTTTGGAAGTTAAGGCACGATCTAATCAAGGAGCTCTTTGGTTCTTGCTTGCTCCCTCCACTCCTCCGAAGCGATCGAAAGGTCGTGCCTTGACTTGACTGCTTTCAACTTTCAACAACTGGCAATTGGAAGAAATACGAGACGGGAGAACTGACGATGTTCTTTGGATCTCCTCCGGCTGGCCAAATCAAATCAAAGAAAAAATGAGGTTGCCGTAAGTCCAGTGAGTCGAATCGTACCATTTGTCGGACGATAAGGTTAGGGAAAGGCCCAAAATAAGAGAAGCCAATGCGTGGTTCGCATTGATCTCGATCCACCCAAGGAAGCGAACACTCAAAGAGAAGATATTTTAGTGTTCTCACATTTTGCAAAACCAAACCGAGAACACAATCCATTGCTGAAGAAGAAGAAGGTGAGCATTGACAGCCTCTATTTCTAACCAAAGAAAAACCAACCATGACGACTTGCAATGGCAATGACATTAACAAGTACCAGCGAATGGATGTCTACGACATTGACGGGACTCTGACTCGACCGGGTTATGATTTGTGGTATTTGACGAGCAAGGCATTGGCCAAAGATGCCAAGGATTTTGATGCTCGTGTCAAGGAATGGAAACAAGAGGTGGCAGACACAGGTGAAGTCGTCAAATCCAGTGGCACCATGATGCAAGACACCATTGGTCGTTTGCTCCGCGATGACTTTGCGACGGGACAAGTGGTACAAGACATGGCTCGCTCCATTGTGGAGGAATTGATCCAAAAAGGCATTGTCTTTTCCGAATGGCTTGCCTTTGTCAAGGAACGATTGCAGGAAGGAGTCACACCCGTGTTGGCCACCACCAACTATATCGAAGGTGCTCGTGCTTTCTTGGAGGCCTTGGTACGCGCCAAATGGTTGACACAAGCCGAAGCAGACCGCTTTGTCTGTTCCGGCACTGTGGTGGACTGGAAAAACCGAACTCTCCTGCACTTTAATATCAACATGGGCAAGGCCAAGGGAGTCTCCGAGGCTACTGGGATTTCCGATATGGAGGCCATCCATCAGGCCGTAGAAAATGTGTTTGGTGATGATCCAATGGGCAACGACTACGGTATCCTGACAATGACAAATCATCATGCATGGGTGGTCAATACGCAAAAGAACGCCACCAAGGCGTTGCCGTTGGGCATGCAACGCATGTCATGGTTGCATTGGACGGATCAAGCCAAACATCGTGTGCCACGAGGTCTCATGGGAGTCTTTGGTGGAAAAAGCGGCGACAATGATGAGCGGCCTAGCAAACGCTTGCAAGTGGATACCAGCAACATTCCTTTGTTGGATACCCACGCGAGTTCCGGTGGAAAACCCAACATTGTCGTGGTGGGTGGCGGATTCTGTGGCGTCCTTGTCACGAGTATGCTGCAGGAGAACAACGACTTGTCCATTACACTTATTGATCCAAAGGATTCCTTCGAATATGTGGGTGCGCTACCCAAAACGTTGGTCCAATACAACACCCAGTCGGATAAGAAAGCAACAAGTCCTGCTGTAAGCTTACCCTTTCACCAAATCCTTGGCAAACAATCTGCAGCACGACATGTCCGTGCCTGGGTCGATCAAGTCGAGGAAAAGCATGTCGTGGTCCAATTTGCAAGTGGCATGAATGATCCGGGCGCCTACTACACACGCAAGATTCCCTTTGATCACTTGGTATTGGCTACTGGCTCGACGTATCCGGCTGGGATCAAGCACTCGCACATGACGGCTGTGCACGGAATCACACGCGGTGTCGAGTTACAGCGTCAACAACAGCGTGTTGCCAATGCCGAGTCAATCCTCCTTATTGGAGGTGGCTACGTCGCAGCAGAGATTGCCACTGAAGTCGCCACCGCCTACCCAGGTAAACAAATCACAATGGTGGATCGTCATCCACGTCTCTTGTCTCGTATCCCCGAGGCCCACGATATGCTGTTGCAGAGATTGACAGAGCTCAAGATCAATGTCGTATTGGGTGAGACAATCACCTCGGTCGATCCACAGAGTCTGGACTACGTATCGGCATCAGGGCGGAGATTCTCGACCGATCACGCCATTTGGACTGGCGGGCCTCAGCCGAATACAGCGGGCCTGGTCGGCAGTATCGAAACCACCTTTCCACAGGCTGCTGCTCATCATCATCAAAGTGCAACGTCGTCTCGTGGATGCATTGTTGTGGACCATTTTCTGAGCTTGCCGGGAAGTGGTCGCCGCGTATGGAGTGGAGGAGACGCCTGCATCTTGGATGATGGAGTTGGCGAAGAGGCCATGGCAGCTCGTGCCATGCATCAGGGACGCGTGATTGCCAATAATATTCTGGCAGCAGTTCAAGCTGGCATTGGCGCCCGAGACAGTGCTTTGGCCAGCAAAAAGGGGGAACTCGAGCTTACCAAATACGTACACGACAAGGCTTCCATTGCAAGTATGATTGTTTCGCTTGGAGGTGACAGTGCCATGGTGATTATCGGCGACGTTCCAGTTGTGGGACCCTTTCGATGTCTCAAAGAGGAAGTGGAGCGCCTCCTGCTCGTGCAGCTGGAGGCGAGGAACGAAACGCAACAGTCACTTGTGGATCCTTACAATCTCCTGAAGTCTGTCAATGTGGAGAAGCTGCGTGAGTTGGCTGCAAGCAGTACGAAAGGGAAGGAACATTCAATCGCCGACATTCTGCCACCGGAACAAAAGGCATCCATTTTGCACCTTCTTGTTGCTCCCAGCCAGGACAGCTAGGTGATTTTCTTGCCAACGTTGCGTCCAACCATCAGACTGAGCGTCTTGAATCAACTCTGTAACCCGTAACTATTAATAGCTAGAATTAGACACTTGTTGTCAGCAATCTCTAGCTAGTAGCTAGCTAGGAAGCAAGACAGAAGTGGAAGCGATTTGTTCTGCTGCATCAAGCATCAAAACAAATCCTACCATGTCCAGGTTACTCTCTACACGCTCTTGGTTGCGAGTACTTGTCTACACCTAATGGCTAACTCATTCCGTACCGTACTCATTGCCAAACTTCTGTAGAGCTAGACTACTACACTTGTAGTAGCTAGCTAGCACTAGAGAGCGAAAACCCGCGCCAAGCCCCTTCGCGGTCGATTGAGTCGATTGAGTCCTAGAAAATGATTGCGAGAGATTTTTGACTCATAACCCAATGCCAACCCGCTGCGGAAGGTGAAAGATCCAAACCGAGAAAATGCGACGGCGAACACACCAATGCCATTATTCTCTTTGTCTTTGTTGTTTGTTATTTTTGTTGGTTATTATTACTACCAGCTAGCTACAGTACTATTTTATTTTGATGACAATGGCGAGTGCTTCCGTTTCACAACGCCGCAGTGGCGAGACACTGGGTGACAACACGAAAGGGAGGGATGTTCGAATTAGCAATATTGTGGCCGCCAAAGCCATTGCGACTGCCATTCGTACATCGTTGGGTCCTCGTGGCATGGACAAGCTGTTGACCAAGGGCAGCGGAGAAGTGATTATCAGCAATGACGGAGCTACTATTTTGAAGAATATGCAAGTGTTGCATCCCGCGGCACAAATGTTGGTGGATTTGTCGCAGAGTCAAGATATCGAAGCCGGCGATGGGACTACTACTGTGGTCGTCTTGGCGGGTGCTCTTTTGGAGGCGTGTGCGACCTTGTTGGCCAAGGGCATTCATCCCACCGTCATTGCGCAGTCCTTTTTGCTGGCGAGCGAAAAGACGTGTGAAATCTTGAAGGAAATGAGTCGACCAGTCCTACTCACAGACCGTCAAGCTCTACTCAATGCCGTTGAAACCTGTTTGAGCAGCAAGGTGGTGGCGCAAAATTCCGATTTGTTGGCACCCATTGCCGTCGATTCCGTCTTGGGACTCTTGGGAGTCACGCCCTCGACGTCTCCCGAGGATATCCCTTCCAATGTAGATCTCCGCGATATTCGAATTGTACAACAGGTCGGAGGAACCGTAGATGATACCGAACTGGTCACTGGACTCGTCTTGAATGCACCCAAAATCAATGCGCCAGGAGCTCCCACTGTCATTCAAAATGCCAAAATTGCACTCATCCAATTCTGTCTCTCCGCACCCAAAACCGACATGGACAACACGGTCGTTGTGGAAGACTATTCCGCCATGGATAGACTCTTGAGAGAAGAACGAAAATACATTTTGGGACAGTGCAAGGCACTCAAAAAAAGTGGAGCCAACGTTGTACTCATTCAAAAATCCATTCTCAGAGATGCCTACAATGAATTGTCTTTACATTTCTTGGCCAAAATGGGAATCATGGTACTCACCGATATCGATCGCGGGGATGTTCCCTTTATTTGCAAGACACTTGGATGCAGTCCCATTGCACACATTGATCAACTCGCCAGCAAAACATCCTCCAAATACTTTGGAACGGCCGAAAAGGTCACTCATGTATACTTGGAAGGCGCCAGTCATCGCGTTGTCAAATTCACGGGAGTACCACCGGCTACGGCACCCACACAAACCATTTTGTTGCGGGGATCCAATTCACTCGTCTTGGGAGAAGCCGAACGATCTCTTCACGATGCTCAATGCGTTGTGCGGAGTTTGGTCAAACAGCGAGCCCTCATTGCGGGAGGAGGAGCACCGGAAGCACAGGCCAGTTATGCCTTGGAACAACACGCGAAAACTCTCCAGGGCATGGCCGTCCCCTGTTTCAAGGCGTTTGCTGATGCCCTCGAAGTCATTCCGTATACATTGGCGGAAAATGCCGGATTGAAACCCATTGAAGTGGTGACGCAACTTCGCAAACTGCATGCCGAAGGAAACGTGGGAGCTGGTGTCGATGTCGTCAAGAACAAGAAAATCAAGACGGGAACGACAAAGGTAGAAGGGGTCTCGGACATGTACGAACGCAATGTTGTACAACCGCTTTCAGTGTCCACCAGTGCCGTCACGTTGGCCACGGAAACTGTTTGTATGATCTTGAAGGTGGATGATATGATTGTGGTGCAGTAAAAAATAAGATTGCATGCATGCATGGTTGGAGGAAAAAGAAAGGTGGTGGAAAGGAGAAAGCAAAGCAGCATGAAGACGAGTTGCTAGGAATAGATAATATTATATAGCAACACAAGAGGAGTATCGAGAGCTTTTAAAGGAACCACATGTGTGTGAGCTAGCTAGCTAGTCCAACACCAGCAAATTAGCTCACAGAGGTCAGCGGAAAAGACACGGCGAGATGGGAAAAACAAAAAGACGACCACTCACATAGCCACATGTAATTGATCTGTTGGAGGCGGGTACTAGTAGTGGCGCAACCCACACACACCGTCGTGGTATGAAGCAAGACTTGAATTTTGAAATGTACGATAGAGTGGGGGCCAACAATCATTACATGTACTAGCTAGTAGTATCTTCAAGAGGGCATCAATGCAAGCATTATTGCGATAGCATAATATTCATATCTCTTCTACAGCATGAGTTAACTGATTCACAATGGGTAGAAGTATGAATTTTGCCATCAAAAATGAATTTCAGTCGAATTTTGAACTGAGAGTGACGAGTCATGCTTCGGATTCGAAATAACGAAAATCGAAAAATGAAAAACAGCGGCAGCAACAACAACAAACAAACTCAACAACTAGAAAGCATTTGACCACCCTGCCATGGAGTGCTACCGGTATGACTGGTGCTGCCATGGTAAAACTCTCTCTGGTTGTGATTTCTATGGCTCCTCACCTCCAAAGTCTTGCAAGTAGCCAAGCGGTCGCCATTGATGTACCTTTGGTATTGACAAAAAAGCCCTCAAACCTCACACTTCCTTTCCGGATCACGTCAACAAGTCAAAGCCAACACGATACGTAAAGTGTATACTAGCTAGTCTAGTAGGCAATCTTAAGCTTTTCGACCCCGTTGAATAACACAGTACAAGTATCGTACTTCGTGGAATGGCTCGTCCCTTCCGTGTCCAAACAGCTGCAGCAGCAACGGCAGCTACCATTGGCTGGTTATGGTTCTCCAGCAGGAGGGCTTCTGTCGTGAATGGCATGATTGCACATACTGGTACTACTACTGTGCAGAGAGATGATGTGGCATTGCCAACCCCATATACACAAGCCGCTCATCCATCGTCGGTGTTGTTTGATAGCATTGACATCCACGGCGTGCCACTTCAATTTGCCGTTCGTAAATTCAAACACATTCGAATGCTGCACGATCACTTACAACGGGAAATACACGGCTACGCCATTTTGAAAG